CAGTGCCTTGCATGGCGGTTATTGTACTGTCTGGACAATATCATATATGGTTCATACTGTACGATCTAGACAGTATCTGGTATGGCAAATATTGCAAGATCTAGACAGTGCTTTGAAAGGCGGTTATTGTACTGTCTGGACAATATCATATATGGTTCATACTGAACTATATAGACAGTATCTGGTATGGCAAATATTGCAAGATCTAGACAGTGCCTTGCATGGCGGTTATTGTACTGTCTGGACAATATCATATATGGTTCATACTGTACGATCTAGACAGTATCTGGTATGGCAAATATTGCAAGATCTAGACAGTGCTTTGAAAGGCGGTTATTGTACTGTCTGGACAATATCATATATGGTTCATACTGTACGATCTAGACAGTATCTGGTATGGCAAATATTGCAAGATAGACAGTGCCTTGCATGGCGGTTATTGTTCTGTCTGGACAATATCATATATGGTTCATACTGTACGATCTAGACAGTATCTGGTATGACAAATATTGCAAGATCTAGACAGTGCTTTGAAAGGCGGTTATTGTACTGTCTGGACAATATCATATATGGTTCATACTGTACGATCTAGACAGTATCTGGTATGGCAAATATTGCAAGATCTAGACAGTGCTTTGAAAGGCGGTTATTGTACTGTCTGGACAATATCATATATGGTTCATACTGAACGATATAGACAGTATCTGAAATGGCAAATATTGCAAGATCTAGACAGTGCCTTGCATGGCGAATATTGCAGTGTCTAGACAATATTTCATGTATATTACATTAAAGATGTATTGAATCTGAGTATGTATTGTTGGCCATATGGTTTAAGACAATTGGTCTCTTCACTCTTCACAGAAAGGAACATAAGCTACATGGATAGTCAAACAAACATTACCAGGAAATACTGACGAGCTCTATAAACTTTACGGAATACACTACCTTTTCCATACACAGTGTACTAGCAACGCGTTGTAGAGTCCGTTTGCTGCAAAATCGTACCGATGAAATGAAAAATAGATATATCCCAAAGCAACAAGTCGTCTTTTATGTAGTTGACCAACTCGTCACCATATTTTCAGACTTTATCATGAAGTTGAAAAAAGCTGTTTTACAAACTATCACGTAATTTTGGGTGGTTTAATGCATGTTGTTACAAGGGGGTCTGCGCAATAAAGATAACAGCTGAAGGGCATCGCGAAAGAAAGGGAAAGCCTCAAAACTTCTATTCTGAAATATTTTCATTGTCTGTGTCACTGTAACTGTTAACTGAAATAATAATTTGACTTACAGTTGCATGGTCTAAACCATCTATTTTACAATATGAAGCTTTTATTCCTGTTTCAACTTTTTCAATGCACCTCCTCCTACTGGCAAAAATCTTAAACATGAAATACCAAGGTTTTCACATTATCTGTGAATTTCATCATGTACCGTATTGTAATGATATATTGAGTTCGTTCTGTTTATTTTATTTATTGCATTTGAAATTAGCTGAAAAGCAATACCAAGAACATCACTAACATTGCTTTGAAAATATTTTACAGCCTCACATTGTATATTCCGTTTAATAACTACGGTTGAAAGATTCGCTTCTGATTTAGACTTTTAATTTGACAGGGTTTTATTACAGGAAGTACAGTAGTGGTTTGGCCTAACACGGGTGAATTTCACGTGCGAATTTAGTGCTGTTCAGTTTACAGTGAAGACGTCCTTGTAATAAAAGACATTAAACCACCAACAATTACATGAGAGTGTGTTGAACAACCTTTTCTTCCCCTCGTGGCAATGTCTGAAATTATGGTGACGAGTTGGTAAGGGCAAATTAATAACTATATTATATACTTCAGTGAGAAAGACTGAGTTTTCTGAAGTTAAGAAAAGTGATATTTTCATTGCAGTGAACATAACACTTGATATTTCACTGAAGTGAACATGACACTTTGACAGAACTATTGTCATACAAGGGTTTCTTCCCCTTAAATTGTCTCCCTTTATCGTAAGTGTCAAGCCCGTACACAAACTGTTGACGTCCTTTTACGTTAGTTCCATATTGACAAAGCTAAGTAATGACAGATGGTCATTTATGGAGTTAATATAACCTCTTCCCGTTTGTTATTCTTTCGAAAATGTTTCGTTATAAGCTGTAAATTTCTCATTTAACTCGTCAATCTAGACTGTTCGAATCGCAAAGCGCCACTTTTGTTACTTGACCAGCGTGTATTCTTTCGCTTCCAACAGCGGTCGCCTGGTTTTGAAGACTATTTTTTGTTAAAGTTGATTTTGTATATAATCATATCTAAATGTATGATAAAGAAATTTCGTGACCCTTAATATTTTTTTATACTTTTGTTTATATTTTGTAAGATTTTGCAAACACGAAACTACTTTTTAAGTCGCAAACACAAGAGGCGGTGAACCGTCCCTGCGTGGTAGGTAGGGAGAATTTACGTTTCAAGATATTACATTTTTTTATGAAAAAAATTAATTTCCCGGTAAATACCTACACAAAAGGTATATAATAAATGGGATATTCTATATGTCTCGTGAAATATCAACATGATATTTCACTCGACACATGAAATATCCTCTATTTCATGACATTTTACGATGAATTGTTGCTTTTGGATATATATTTATTTGGCATTTCATAGGTATGATTTTGACATCGACATCGAAAGATCCTATGACAACGCCTTTGTATCAGATTGTGACGTCGATAGTTTTAGTGATAGGTTCAGTAGATGTTAATGATGCTATATACAATTCCTAAGTGAGTGAGTGAGTTTGGTTTAACGACGCTTTTTCAAGTATTTCGGTTTCATGACGGCGTGTCAGCTTAATGTGGAAGGAAAGCCAGAAGTAATGCAGGTCTCAGACGTTTATCACTTTGCTGAAACCTACAAGCACGGGTATGGTGCTGATAAACCCGGAAGCAAAATTAGGATGATGGTACCTTAACGGGTTTGGACGAACGAATAAAGGTGGGAATGAATGATACATTAGACTGAGGGGCAAAAGAAAGTGTACCCAGTTTGTTCTTCATGTAATTGGAAAGTGAAAGAACTGTTGTTAAATGTGATTATGTCTATTTACACTCCACTCATTTCTGCAACAGCTGAGCTTGAAAAATGTAATCTGTTGATGGGAAATTTTGTGTAAAATTAAATTGGTTCAATAAGGACAGGAGTAACAAGGGGATTTGTAACCACATGATCCCTAACATGTTTGAAAAGTTGTAAATTTGCGCCGAAAAAGCAAATTTGTTGATTTTCAAAGATACGATGTCCAAGATACCTTTATTGCGTATTATTCCTAGTTATTGTTTGAATTTTTTAAGGTTTTAAATCAAATTGTTATTTAAAAAATTAAACCATGTAAAAGTATTAATTGAATGCTGACTAAACCATTTAAAAGTTCATTTTGGGGTTACAATATCGCTAACATTTATTGATATTGATATTTTCAATTGAACATCAAACGTGATAAAATTAACTGAGAGGTATAGTTTCTTTTACTCACAAGTTTGTGTTTTTCTTCATTAACTTGCGCCTTTCTGTGGGCACGGGTAGCCCATGGATCCAGATTAATTATCATGATAGAAAATATATAAACGCCAAACAATAAACCTGTTCGATATGGTTGCTATCATCTGCAAACACTCCATACATACTCCTCGTATTTGAAATGTTTCGAAATACCCTTTTCCGTGTCCATTTAATAAATTTAGTTGCCCCTGATGTGAGATTTAAGGGAATTCCACTTGGTTATATCATTCAGAAGATTAAGGGATTCTTGGTCAACCACTTGGTTGTAAAAATTGTAACCGACCCACCCTTACACTAACATACAATCCACACGCACAAACACACACCATTAGTTTTCGTAGTGGATTACGGATTGTGTTTATCCTCACACTAACACCTGATTATCTTATGATGTTTATTTGTTTGTTTGTTGTTTAACGTCGCACTCAGCAATATTCCAGCTACATGACGTCGGGCTGTAAATAATCGAGTCAGGACCAGACAATCCAGTGATTGACATCATGAGCATTAATCTTCGCAATTTGGATACGATGACATGCATCAACCAAGTCAGCCACCCTGACCAGATTATCTTATGAGCGCTAAAAAGTGTTTTAAACTTTCTCTCTTTTAATTCGGTTGACATTAATTCAGCAACGACAAGTTTTGGTCCTGAAGTGACATCTGGATAGCATGGACTTGTTTAAGAGATGGGTTGTAAATGTCAGAGCAATTTCAATTCTGTTCATATAAGTGGGTCTGACATATATCCTCAATTTGCTGTAGAATTAGGTACAAGACATTTGTGGTAATAAAGCAGGTGAGGGTGCCCCGTGAAGACTGGAAAGTGACAACACGGACTAGAGTGCAGTTATTATATAATTGCTTTCTGAATGGCGAGATATTTCTTCAAGTAAAGTAAGTGCCTTTGGCGCCGTGACACCTCTCTCCTGATGAAAGTCCTCTACTTACGAATAAATAATTACACGGAGTAATCCTGTCTGCGAGAACATTTGTCGGGGCGGAAACTGTTTCTTGTTTAGACCTTGGAGTAAGCAAAGCAATAAGAGAAAGTGAGTCTACCTCTGGCCATTGTCGCCAAATACAGCCGTGACATCGTTGGTCAAGCTATGGTCACCAGGTCAACAAAGATTTAATCACAGTACTCGCACTCCCGACACACACGGAGACGAGTGATAATGTATAAGAATATATTAGTAGTAGTATGGTATTTTTAAAATACTACGTATACATTGGTTGACCCTTGAACTAACGTAACGAAGACAGATTTATATACAGGCTTGAGGCGTGAGTCCTTCCAACTGACTATTGGTCAAAGGGGCGAGTATACATATGGTGGACAAAAGGGATAAGGCCACGTCGAGGACTGACGCCTAAAGGCATCTGATTTACTTTAATGCCATTATGAAACGAGCGGGTTGTCATCACTTTCTACCTGTACGGTGCTAGCCTCAGCGTGTACTCCACACAGCACCATACTCAGTACACTGCACGCACAATAGTATGTAACGCTTCGCTTTCTCCGCTGTCCGGCGCTTCCACAGACCCTGTCATACCAGCTGCGTTCGATAGAAACGGCCCATCTCAAAACAGGTGGCAGACGCTGATGCCGCTCGACGTTGGATCCTAGAACCACTTCTCGTGGCGTAACTGCACTGATGAAGTGCGCTAGACTCTCCAAGTGGAAAGTAGAAGGTGTCATAAATACACCATTTCCAACATGTGAACAGGTTGATTTGCTAAATGGAAAGGCTATTTAGCATTTTGCAGGCAATACAGTGATAAGTGGAGTAAGACTAAGCCGATTGGTGGGAAGCAGCACAGGAAAGAAGCGAGTGGCAATACTGTGATTACTTGCCCATGTGACGGGATCTGACAGGGTTGGTACTGTCACCGCTTGTGTTTACACACGGGATCTTGCAGGGATGTAACGTGTGTATGATATCAGCAGACGTGGTGTGTTACTACGATGTAATGGCACCGGGTGATGACCAACAGGTGGACAGACGGACTTACAGACACATAGTATGCGGAATGACGACTTCACACTCCGCAAACTAATGGGGCTGTGCTTACAGGTAGGCAAATCTTCATATGCCTGTATATTCATATGTCACAAAATTTAAAAATCATATTTCATTTTTTTTCATAATTTCGGAAATTTGGTTTTCATTGTGAATGTCTATTTCCTAGCTTTTTTAGAGTTGATATCAGAATACAGTTACAGTGTATAGTAGTATGCCCATTTGGTATTCTCTGGCTGTGTAGCTTCTATGTCTGGATCGTTCTAAGGTCATGCATACATGCCTGGTTAATACCTGCACAAGCCTTTATTCAAGGTCTCTGGTCATTGTACGACCTCTTTCATCTTTGATTATTACAAGGCCTTAGCGGCCCCCAGCTGATAAAGCGCCAGATCTGGCCTTAAATACTATAATTATCATTTCCATTAATATTTGCACTGGATATTAGCCTCTTTATGGTCCTGTCAACTGACCAAGGGTAAACAGCAGGGCTCTTAAAGGCCTTTTTACTGCTGACTGATTATGAGTGGTATTAACTTTCGTATTAGTATGACTTCTCTTGCACTGACACGGGCAAGCGCTAATAAACTGTATTCCACGTTGTAGTTGTTTGAGCAAAGACTCATGTTTACGGTCAACGCGCCTGAGAGTAGATTACTTGAAATGGTGAACAAACATTTTTCTTTGGTGGAAATATAAAGACGTTTATGTTGCATAGTAAACTGGAATCCGATCAACAAATACGCCCTCAAAATGCGTTGTCTTTAGTTACTATTGTCGACCTGGTCACATATTTATATAGGGAATTCTTTAGAAGTCTCAGTCGAGGTCCAAGTCTCTTTGTATATATTTGCTGTATATATTTAAATGTGGTCGCTTCATACCAAAAGACGTTAAAGGTGGTATTTATTGCTACCCTGCCTGGCGCGCGGCATTAAGGGCATAAAATAAGGACTCTGAGTGGGGTATTCATGTTAAACTGCGACATGGTATCTCAGTGGCCTCGCACTGTGAAATCGGCATTACTCCACACAACTACAAGCAGCCACACACACACGTGCATGCACGTCGCTATATAAGTGCAATAACCTTGAACGCAACGTTAACCCCCATTTCACCTCACCTCATATTATCAGGTGAGTTGCATTTTCCTGACCCTATGTGCACGTAAATGCGACCTACTACATGTATGTCGGAACGGCATCTTTGTCCCAGTGAATCAGACACTTCGGATGCTGAAACAATAAAAGATGCTGGGATATTTTGGTACAGAAATCTTTACTTTAACGTTGCTGTAATTTCGTTAACCGCGATACATTGAAGATACTGCAAACCTACATACAAATTGTTAAATCAAACGAAGAGATGAAGAATGCCGCAGAATGATGCATTGGTAAGGTATTGTAGACAGTTTGGCCAAGTAGGAACAAATATGAAAAGGGCAAAGATACAGCGAGATGCAGTGCTTGGTAAGAAGATGAATTGTATGACAGAAAGATGCATTACAAGGAACAATTACATGGACTGATCACTATTAACAGATTTAATATTAAAAAAAGAACGTGAAGGGAAATGTAATATTGTTGCCACAACCAAGTAAAATATGATTTGAAGCATAGATATCAACGATACGCAATGTTAGCCTGAAGTACACTATGTAAGTATGATACAATGTTGGAGGCCAAAATACAAGGTTAATAATAAATATGCGCAAGTAGTTAAAAAACTTTTTTTTATCAGATGTCGATAAAAATAGTACAAACATACAGTAAAGCACCAATCGGGTGTCACCAACATGCTCATAGTTGAACAGTAGAAAAAGTCCAAAACTTGCAAGATAAAGAAAGAAAAAAAAGGAGTTTGAACATCTTTGAACTTTGCATGACAAAATGTCAAAGTTTCCCTTAACTTTTAAACTTGACATTTCCCGTTGACCAACAGTGGCCCTCTTCCTAAATTGTTCTTTACAATGCTTTGACAAGATACGTATGTTTAAGGAATGAAACTGTTTAAGATGAGCTGCAAAAAAAGAATATCAAGCAAAGGGAACACTACTCCAGTCATAGTCTGTTCTGATTTGTATGTCTTCTGATGCTGTTAATAGTCGACCAATCACTTCTCTATGAGTAGCAGCACCAGCACCAAGGCTGGAGACTCCTTTACCCCTATTCACCGTACCTACTGACAACTATAGCCACATTGTTACCTTCTGACGGAAGTTGAGATATAGTCCCACCGACCCTAGAGATAAACAGGGAAAGGAATCCAACTCAAGTCTTGGATTCCTGAGCAGAAATTAAACATTGCTCTAAGCTCCATTTGGATCTCACTTTTTAGTTTGTAGATATATTATTAAATTAGAAAACTTTATTTTCTAAATGTTAGTCTTCGTGCGATAGACATGGGCTAGACGCTTTTATGTCTTCACGGAGGTATACTTACTGCTGGGGAATAGATGCACAATTACGGGTATATATAGCGTCCCGCATAGCTTTCTAGATAGCCAGGTGCGTTGCACATTGCAGTCCCAAACACTTTCATACTCCCTGTAGTCTCTGCAACACCGTTATCTTTGATGCATTCTGAGAGTCGTCCAACGACTGATGCCGTCTGTCTAAGTCAGAATTGGGCTGAAAGTATTAGGGCATAAGAAGTGATAACAATATGCCTTTAATCATAAATTCTTTATCTGCCCCACTTTTGATAAAAAGGTTTTAAAGTAGGGTGTTTATATTTTCATTATGTGATTTGTGTGTGTTCTCTGTTCATTGTGTTGAAGGAACAGCGAATACCTTCAAAGCCGAACAGATCAGTTTTTGTATTTGTATATTGTATCAAACATATCCATCTAACAGTAACCCTCACTACACTGATACAATGTTTCAGTTACTGAGTGGCACTGATTACCACGTCTAGACAACCATTCCGTCTTTATGGGTCACATCTAGTCAGTGAAACTATTATACACATGCTCGTCGTGTTCTCTCGTTATTAGATTTGACCGAAAACAGTTTAACGTGTGTACCCACAGCTGTTTAAGGTTTAAGAATCGAAGGCACCTGAGGGGTACAACGGTAATGTTGACAAAGAAGACTTGCGATGAACGTGTACGTTGAAGAGTTGGTTCACCTCAATACTACCATTTATAAGATACCAAGATAACCGAGATGAACACTGGCAAGGTAGATTGTATGTGTCTTCAGCATGGTTGTGGCAGTGTTCGTGTAGTGAACGTATTTAGCCTTCTTGTCGCTTGAGACAAAACACGTGCCTCAAGTCACGATGTATTCACTGTGATTGTCTCTACACATGTGTTTAAAATTATCTCCATCGTCGCATTCAAAGAACTGGTTGCCAAACTCCATTTTTTTGAATTATGTGATGCACTTCAAGTATATCTGTGTATATATGTATGTACCCACGGTACCACCACGTGTTGTATGTATCCACGGTACCACCACGTGTTGTATGTACCCATGGTACCACCACGTGTTGTATGTCTCCACGGTACCACCACGTGTTTTATGTATCCACGGGATCATCACGTTGCATGTTATTTACTTGTAATAATGTGTGGGGAGAGTTCAGAGCCGAGTGGCTAACGTAAAGCGTTCCACCATCACATCTAAGGTCTGGTTCAACTCCCTATATGGGCACAATGACAGTGCTAGAATACTGCCAACAGTGGCATGAACACCCATACACTCAAACATATGCGAACTAACTTCTGCAATGGTAAATATAGGCGACAAAACCATTTCAATAGCCAGAATAAGTCTCTTCTAACAGCAGAGACGATTGTACCATTCCGATTTTATCATGAGCAGGTCATTGTGAATTACAGTCAAATAGTAATGATACCAAGTCTTCGCAAAAAGGTGAGCGTATCCTGCCCCACCGGTGACACCCGTCACAAATATGCAAGTCAAAACAGGGAATCGCATCGGACATTATGTTTGTCACCGATGCGTCAAATTTGAAAAAGTCCTCCACACGTCTTTCATAAAAATCTTTGAAAGCTTTACTGAGGCCTTGCATGTTTTAACCTTGATCGAACAACTTCTGAGCAAGAGTCGTATGACGCTCTTTGAAATCTTGGTAGAAAGAGATGCTCCATTGTATCTCAAAAGTTAAACACCAAAAACTGGAGCTGCTTGAATATTGCTCGACATAAAGGGAAGGTTGACTACTGGAAAGCTGACATCATCCCTCTTGTCATACAGTCTTGTGGAGAGTGTTTTGTCACTCTGAATCCTTATGCATTGCTATGAAACAGATAAGGCGGTCTCACTGGCCTTCTTTATTTCTAGTTCAGGTGGGTAAATCGGTGGAAGGGAATTGGCTATTTGGTGGTTAGTGAACGTTATCAGATCATCGATATACCTGAAGCTTAAGGTAAACTTCTTGGCCAAATTACCTTGTTTTGACTTTGCCAATCCGAGCAGAAATTCTGATTCATATGCATAAAGAAACAGATCCGCAAGAAGGGGAATTGGTGCCCATGGGGATGCCTACTTCTTGCCTAAATGTCTTACCCCCAAATTTCACGTAGATGTTATCAATGAGGAAGTACAGCAGTTTACATATTGTTTCCTCAGTAAACTTCAGATGGCATTTGCTTTCATTTTTTCACAAATTGTCCTGAATCTCTTAATATAGACACGTAACTGTATCTGTGTTCACCACGTTTTGTAACAAAAGCACCATGGATCAAGGAATGAAGTTTTTCCTTAAGTTTGTCATTTGGGATAGTCGTGTATAAAGTTTAAAAATCGAATGGTTTCACAAAATGTCAAGCAATCCTTTGGGTTTTTGAGAAACCACAAGGTATTGATTCCACTTGTCTCGAATACTTTCTGTGAATGTACAGAAAGTCTTTCCTTGATTGTATCAAGGATTATGGTTAGTCTTTGTGACAGGGATTTGTGGTACATTTGCTGGACCCAGCAACATCTCTCTCTCTCTTTGTATAGATGTCATGGAGTTTTGGAATCCAGTGCAAAAGAGGAATGGACATGTCTTTAGGTTTTAGAGTCAAGTGAAAAGTTGACAGT